GAAGACGCTACAACTACTAAAGCAGCGGAGAGGAAACACACACTCATCACAGTCAGTCAGTGCGAGCACACACACACACACTCAGACGAAGATATCACAGACCATGGCTGCTACACTGCTCGGGGTAAGTTTAACATTTTGCCAAAACATCCTTATCCGAGAAATCCTGAAAAATATTGATTTGATTATCCTTTAAGGGCTTTGTTCGTTATTGGAATTCAGGAGACGCAGTTAACTCCGTACATTTTATATTCAACTCCGATAAACGTTAATGTTTAGTAGGCTTAATATTATAAAATACTTTATTAATCGGCACACATCAGTTGTTTTCAATCGTATGTTTTCTTACCTGTTTTCACTGATCATGTCAGAGTTAGTGAACGCTGGCTCATGTCGAGCTACCAGGTAAATGCTTGTTATTGAAGTGAAATTATGAGGCACTGTAAAATACTTATTTTAGAAACCTTGTCACTGTATTGTAATACATGTAGTTACGATAAAGTGAGTGGCTACTATCAATTTAGTTAGTTATTCATAATATGTAAAAGTTTACCTGCCGTATTGTCGGTTGAGTTTGCTGACAATTTGGAGACGCTGCTCCATTGTCTGATGGATCTAATCCAGAGAATCACTGTTTGTAAAGCGTTCACCATGTCACATTCATTCTGGGCTTCTTCTGCGATGCCCAAAAAGTTAAGCGCAGTTGTTTAATATTTTTGCGCGTCTTTACGCACACCATGTTTAGCCAAGACTCTGTAGTGACAGGTCTAAATGTGTCTGCGTGTTCCCCACAGGAGGAGCCCCGGCTCGGCAGCGCGCCGCTGGCAATGTTGGCCGCCACCTGCAGCAGGATCGGTGAGCCCAGCCCCTCGTGCTCCCCTGCTCTCTCCGATGGAGCCCCAGGATTCGTGAAGGGCTTTCACCCGTGGAAGAGAGGGGCGCCTGGACACAGCAGCCTCGGTGCATGCTTCACTTCCCTCGGGGTTCCCCCAACATCCAGGAGTAACGGGACCGGACTGACGGAGAACTCCAGCGCTTTCTCAGTGACCAACTCTGCTTTTGGGAATGATTATTCAATGTACCAAACCTGTGTGCCATCAGACAACAATGTTACTGATCCTTCGCACGTACAGAGATCCATGTATCTGACCAAATTCCCCTCCTCGGTGGAGAGCATAACAGGGATGTATCCCAGGATGCACACACATCCCTACGAGTCATGGTTCAAACCAGTGGCAGAAGTCAGTAATGGGTCTGCTGCTTGGTGGGACATGGGTACCAGCTGGGTGGACACACAGAGTACAGCCGGGTTACCCTCTCCTCTGAGCGGCTACAGCACTGAATACAGCTCCGCCTTCGGGCCCGGGGCCTCTCAGCACCTGCACCCCGCCACACAGCACCTGTTTGACGGATTCAGGCCACCCGTCCCGACCCCCTACACAGAGTCAACGACGACAGGAACTCCCGTCGTTTCTCTGCCCGCATCTTCCCGCTCCTCCTCAAGGCGCTACTCTGGCAGAGCCACGTGCGACTGCCCGAACTGCCAAGAGGCAGAGAGCCTGGGCCAGGGCGGCACAAGCCCGCGGCGAAGAGGCCTCCACAGCTGCCATATCCCGGGTTGTGGCAAAGTTTACGGCAAGACGTCTCACCTGAAGGCTCACCTGCGCTGGCACACCGGGGAGAGGCCGTTTGTCTGCAATTGGCTGTTCTGCGGGAAACGCTTTACGCGCTCGGATGAGCTCCAGCGGCATTTGCGTACACATACCGGGGAAAAGCGCTTCGAGTGCTCCACGTGCCACAAACGGTTCATGCGCTCAGACCACCTCGCCAAGCACGTGAGGACGCACAGCGCAGATGGCTCAGAGGATGGCGCGGAACCGGGACTCGGTAAAGGCAGCAGCGACACGGACAATAGCCTCTCCGGGAGCCCAAACCAGTCTCCCGGGCTTCACGTCCCAGCCACCGAGGGACAGTGTGCTGTGGAATAATTTACAAAACTTAGCAGGAACAAAAGCAACGCGTGGGCATTTTGATCATTGGCGGTTCTAGGGGGGTAACACTGTTGCTTGGACCCCCCTGTGGCCCCCCTCCAAAAGACTAAATCTATGATAATGCAATTTGTGAAAGTGTTACAGCCAATACTGTGCTGTAACCTGGTGCAGGAATGTTTTTTTTTCAGTAATGTAATTAAATATATTGAAACTAAGTTACTGAAACTAATTATGTTACTAAAACAAATACCAACAAATATTAAGATATCAAATGAAAACAACGTTTGGCTGCATGAATAACGTATTAATTACTGCAAAATGCATTACGGGTAATGGTAAAGTAAATAACTAAACGAAAATTGCAAGTCATTGACACAAATCCTGTTATTGAAACAAAAACCAATAATGGTATTTTATGTTTCCTTGTGCTCTATGATTTTATACTGAACTAAAAAAATCCTTCAGTAACTGGCCCCAGCACCGCCCCCCAGTACTTGGTCTAGAACCGCCATTGGATTTGATTACACTGTACCAGCCTGTATGGAGTGTGTTTTCTCGAACACTTAAAAACAGAAATGGCACTTTACGATGAACTTCAGCTGTGGATAAACACTGTGTCCTTACCTCATCTTATATGTAGCCTTCTTTAATAACACATTTGTACTCTACAGTTTTGTTCTGACTTGTGTTATTTGATTACATGTTATATGTAGCTAATTTATTCTACAAAAAACTTTTTTTGTTTAGAATGTAACTGTTACATCATTGGGTTATTTTTTTGACATGATCGCGCTAAATTTTAATTTATCGAGATGTTTGTTTATAACACTAAATTGTTCTGATTTATCTCTGCCTGTAGGTGATTATACTTACTCAATAAAACAGGACATTTTGGGACATGTCGTATTTTGTTTCTCTTTGAACCTTCGTGTAATTGAACTTTTCCATGTTTTTTTACATTATCCTTCACTAAGGAATATTATTTAAGGAATATAAATATATAATTTAATGTAATAACCAAAATTGCAGCAATTAATAATAATCAACTGCTAGAGTTCATCACATTGTATATGTTTTGATTTCGGTGTTTGTCTGGATGTAGCCTATCACTGTTAGCACAGACATGCACACTTATATCAAGCAAACTCAAACTTAAGGTAACATTTCAGTTGCGCTCTGGTGTAAAATAAGGCTTGGAGCATGCTGCGAAACATTAATTTCCCTGATCAAAGTATTTAAATTATATTGAGTTTGCGTTGCAATGCTGATAAAATAATGATATCTGATCGTTAATCAAACATTGTATTCTTTTACACTTCCTCTCTCTGTTGGTTCAATGTTTAAAACGACTCTCGTCTCAGTTTCCTTAGAGTGCATCTCCACCTAGTGTTCACTTTTCATGATCACCCTTCTGTTGGACCACATGGGTTGATCACACATTGAAGTTTTGCACATATTTTGTTGCTTCAAAAATATTAAAAAAGAATCAAATCTTCACAAAACTAAACAAAAACATTACGTGCAAAATGCAGGCTGGCTTGTAAGAAGGAATCGTGTCTTTCTTCATTTGGGGCTGCATTATTTTCACGTTTTTCCATAAATCAGCCCTAACTAATTTTCCACAATTACTAAAATAATGTAAAAGAAAATCATACACACAACCTGAAAAACTTAAAAACTCAATAGCTGGTAATTAAAAAATCTTGCACATTTTATTGTGATAAAAACATTCATGCTACACAACTAGTCACATTATTTGCCAGCAAAACTACACATAAAAGTGCTGTTGTTACTCCGAACTCAGTGCCGGGTTAGATGAGATGATTATAGCCTTATTGCTGAATCATTGTCATGGTGAAAGATAGACTGCTCTTCATAAACACAAACTGTTCTTGCAGCCTATAACTCAAGTAGCATTATCATAAAACAGCAGAATTATCATAAATACAAAAGAAAGAAAAACAAATCACAATAAATTATAATTAGTGTTCCCGACTTACAGTAAAAGAGAGCAGCTATTGCTGTAAACAAAATTGGGTTAAAAGCAATTCAAAGAGAGGAAAGGGATTGGGCAAGCAAACATTTTACCAAGATGCCATGCAACTGGCACTCTGGATTCAGAGGATATAGTGCATGAGGGTTTACTTCCACCTCTGATCTCAGTACCTTCAGAGCTCATTTGTACCTTTTCCCAGGAGTTTGAGTCTAAACTTGTCAGAAATGGCTCTGCAATGATCAGCAGATGCATGCAGACACAGTCCTGCTGCTGTCTCTGTGTAGGCGTTTGATGATGCAGTTGCCATTTTTCAATCTATTGTTATTCCAGTGTTGTGGATGTGTTACATTGGCGTTAAATGCACTTAACGCATATACAGATATCTTGTAATGCCCAACATTAAGCAACAATCATTTAAAACCACAGCTTTTCTAACCCAGAGACCTCACATGTTTCAGTAGTATAATGCAAAACAATTGTTCTAGTGAAAGTCTAAACATATTATGAAAAACACATGAAAGTAGATTCTCACTTATGGTAGAAAAATGCCATAAAGTAACAGTAATTTGCAATGCAGTTAATCCATTAACAGAAATGCAACAAATAAACTACGAAGACCAGGCATGCCAAAAATTAATGAAGATCTGATCAAATTAAGAGATAGAAAAAGGCATACAGAGTCATTGGTGTGCTTTGGGAATTACTGTAAGTCCCAAGGCAGTACAGTAGAGGTCAGTAATGTGATGACAGTGTTATTGCAGAAAATAAATGTAGTACCTCAAGCTGGCCACATGGGGGCAGACTAAGACAAGGGAGATGGTTCAGTTGGAGCTTTGTAGTGTCACACAATCCCATAATCCTAAAACATATAGTGTTCTCACTATAGAATCATAAATATACCGCCTATAGAGCACAAACGCACCTATCTGCACCACACACACACTCTCTCTCACACACACGCACACACACACACACACACACACACACACACACACACACACACACACACACACACACACACACACACACACACACACACACACACACACACACACACACACACACACACACACACACACACACCTATAAGTTAAAGCAATATTTGCTGCATGGATAAAAAAGCCACTGCTACTGAGCAAGAAGAGGTGGAGGACATGTGCTCTTTGTTTCATCTCCATTTCCTGGATACTGGCCACATTAATCACACAGTCGATACAAGTTTGGTCAGGTCATTTAACAAATGTGATTCCATGGAGGTTTTCATAGTTTAGTTTATCATTATCAGTCTCCACGTGCAGCTGGTTGAAGTTGAATGATCATTTAGAAGCAGAAGAGAAGCCTTTATTTGACTTTTCTTCTCTATACTGACTTTCTTCTGTCTTTGCTTAGTACTGCCAGGGGTCACCCAGGGGCATCTTGGAATCCTGGATGTGCATCTCGACAGGTCGGTCAGGTGGACTCTCCCTCCTGTAAGTTACTGTCTTCTCGTTGCTTGTTGGGATGTATGACAGGTCCTGAAGGGTGACAGAAATGTGCAGTCAGTAATAGGCATTTCTGTTTTTGTGGGAAGTCATGTGAGTTCAAATTTAGCGCAGCAGAAGAGGATATATCTTCACCTTTAGTCCTTTTATGTGGGTTAGGTTGTACAACTTTGTTCTGTCCCTGCAACGTATCCTCATGTCGCTTGTTTGCATATTTTGGCAAAAGTTATTGCTCATTGTGTCTGTTCTACTGTTCTATAGGTCAATTTTAGCTTCTTAAATGAATGCTCTCTTCTCAAAACTAATTTCCATATTCACAGGTTACAACTTGGTTAGGTTCAGGCAAAGATAGCAGTTTGGGTACAATTACTTAGTAAGTGGCAAAGTTACGTAACAAATACATAAAAACATGAACAGACGTCTCCCTGTGTTAAAATCAGTCTCTGAAGAAGTAGAGCTCTTAAACACCTGCAAAACTTCCAGCCAATGTAAATATGAACTTTCTCCTGAGAGTGTTACATCATGCTATAAGTAAGAATGCAAATGTTACCAAAAACAGATGCATACATTTTTAAAGTCTATAATCAGCACTGTCATTAAGACTATTCGTGGGGAACCATGAATAATGATGAACAATTTCACGCCAGTTTAGGCACACATATATTCAGAAAGCTCATTTCAAATATCCATAGTTTCCTTCTTCTCAGAGGTGCTGTACATCATTGTAAAATCACAAATCTGGACATTGTTGGTGTCGAGCTGGGAGTTGAGAGGAAATGCAAAATACAGCTGTACCTCTAACAGCAGGCTCACATTCCTCACTGCTGCTTTCAGCGAACACTACACATGAACAAAAATATCCCAAAGAGTTGAGGGGTCCCTGTTCCTCTGAGGGCTACAGAAACACCTCCACCTCCTCTCAATTAAACCCTGCTGTGTTGAGGACCGCCTCAAGCAAACCCTGTGGTGGAAAGTAACTTAGTACATTCACTCAAGTACTGTACTGCTACTTCATACTTCTACTCCACTACATTTTGCATGCAAATAATGACCATTTTACAACCTTAGTTTCTAGAAACTTTGCATATAATATTAATAATACAAATATCAAATCGTGAAATGACCTATGATGTACTATGATATACTAAGTATAAAAAGGCATTCAAGTTTTCTCCACCGTTCCCGGCAGCAAAATAAAAATTGTGTTCACATTAATGCAAGAAAAATGATAATCCAGTGATTTAATATATTCCGGAAACAGCTTTTCTGCATGAAGATAACTTTTCTTTCTGGTATTTTAGGTATACATTGATGATACTTCTTCTATAATTTTACTATAGTAACATTTCAAATTCTACTTTTAGCTGAGTATTTCTACTTTCTAGTGTAATAATTTTGACTTAAGTACAATTCATGAGTACTTCGTCCTCCACTGAGCATCCTTGACTCTTAAAGGAGACATGTCATGGCCATTTCCACTGATCATAATTCCATTGTTGAGGTCTACTAGAATAGATTTATATTGTGCAATTTTCCAAACTCACATACACAGCGAAACACAGCCAAACTCATCCTGAGCACACACAAACTCACAGCCGAAGTAAAAACAATAAGTGTGGCTTGATATTGAGTAAGAAAAAGGTTGATAAACGCTGTGAGAATGGGTCTGCAGAGAGAATTTCGCCGCGATCCCAACTGTCTGTTATCAGCCTGCAGCCAGGGAGGAGAAATCAGCAGAGCTGCCTGCACTGTGTGTGTGTGTGAGGAAGTCCGTGGATTGGTCAATTTGGACCAATCAGCGGGGGCTTAACGTAACATCTCCGCGGACGTAACGTAACGGCTCCACGGATTGGTCCATTTCGTTCCGGGTACGGGGTTACGTCACCCCGTACCCGGAAGAATCAAATGGACAATGACGTATCTCCAACGAGGCGTTTTGGGGATGTCTTTTCTGTGTTCGAGTTTTACTCGCTACAGGGTGTACTTTGAGGGTTTTGACTCTGCACACCGTTTACATGCATAAAAACCTTCATAACACACAAGGGGACGGGTAATAACCGGAAAAGCATGACATGTGTCCTTTAAAGGCTCACCTTTCCAGTGCAGTGATAGACTGTGACCTCAGCAGCGCCCGCTGCTGTCAGGTTTCTCTTCTGTAGCAGCAGCCGGGACACAGCCACCACCACCATCCCGCACAGCACCGTCAGAGCACAGACACACAGGAACGTTCCCACCAGCCGGCTGTTGCTGGCACACTCTGTGGACACAAACACACACACATTAACTTTTAGTGGCAATAACTGGGACAGGATGGCTCTCACTGTGATGGGCAACATTTTTATATACACACATTTTTCCTCTGTGAAACGAAAATACTCAAATACCTAAACTAATAGATCACACACACTGGGGTAATCTATTGAAGTACATTTACTCAAGTACTTTACTTAAAGGTCCCCTATTATACTGTTTTTCATCAATATATTATAGGTCTTGTTGGGGAATAATTTGCCCTGCATGTCCTCCTTCGCCCTCTGACGCAGATGACCAACCTTGAGCAGCCGTTATCTCCCATAAGGAGGGGCTGCCCTAGCATATTGTTTACCAGTTTATGACCGGGCAACTCTCAGTCAGAGATAGTTATTGTTGTGGGACACCTGGAACACATCCTTCTCGGGGTGTAGATAACACCGAGCCATAAGCGACAACAACTGTGATTCAGTGTCCTCAGCTGTTTAGTCTATCTATTGAAGAATGTTGATTATTACACTCTGAACTAGTTAAAACCTCGAGCTACAGGAGGGTTCTTCAGAATTGATTGTGGCATCTCAACCGTGTGGTCAAACCGTGGCCCGTGACATGTCTTGTGAATTCTCCGGCCGAAGCTCCAAATAAACCATCAGTGTTTGCCATCAAAGCTCCAGCTCTCCCCGTGTCTCTCTGAGTCCTGACTCCATTGCTACAGAAGTTTCCCCCACAGGTCTCAGTTATTTACAAAACATGAAGTTTTGCTCTAAATACCAAACAGATCATTGCAGCATCCCATAAACCCCTCTGTTTCAGCCCTGTTTCAAAAGTGCTGATTCTCTGTCTGTTACTTTAGATGAAAATAAGGAGCCACTCCCCACGCCCCTCTGAGAGATATTTGGTTAAAAATAACACAATGGTACTCTAGGAGGAGATTCAGGTGATAAGGGGGGGGGGGGGGGTTACCTTGGTTGCAGTGGCGGCCGGTGGTCTTTTTTTTTGGTGGGGCTCTTGACGTACCGTAAGTGACCTACCCGGGGGGGTCCGGGGGGTTTTCCCCCGGAAACTTTTTTCGAGAAATGACCCCTTAAATGATGACTTCTGGTGATGTTAGAGGGGGGGGGGGAAAGGAGAAATCGAGGCTTAAAAATATGAGAAGGACTGATCAATACCTCCATAATCTTCAGTGTGGAAAATATTATTTATCAACCTGAACATCTACTACTTTACCAGGAATTTGTGTTCTCCGAACTGGTCTGTTTTTTTCTTTCTTAAAACTGTTCATGTTTTATGAACCAACACCTTCACCAAGTAGCTTTACAGTGAACTGCATGTGAGATATAAAATTAATAGCATCTTTTCAGTAGCATTAATTATAAATATTTAAGTGGTTCAATACAAGTCACTACAGCATTTCAAACTGAACTGTGAATAAATGCAATTTAAAAAAAAATAACCACAGCACAAAATGTCATAAATTGTGTTTTTTCTTTGTTTCTCTGAGGATTATTTACAAACAGGCTTATTTACATATAGCAATAACTCAGAAATGAAAAAGCTACATCGTCTAACACGAACAACCACTTAGCATAATGATAATATATGTGTTATGTACAATGTAACTGGCAAGGCTAGAGCAAGAAAGAACATAAAGTTTGCAAAAGGTTTAAATAACTTCAAGTATCTGTCTTCAGATTACGTGGAGGTTTTAGTCCGATGGGAAGCAGATTTTAAGCGACACCGAAGATAAACCAAAATGTGGTGGAGCTGCCAAACCGTGTAGTGTTGCTGGGACAGAACAGGAGCTATAACCGTTGGAAAATACATCACAGACAATGCAACAAACGTGGAGACAGAACAATCACTTCTGTGATAAATGCCCACTTATTAATAAACTTCTAACAACCATGGGAAACCTCCTCTCTACATATAAAGTGATATCCAAGCATGGGAAACAAAAGACAGCATTTACCTGTTTGCATCCAGCTAGCCAAGCCTTTCTTGTGTACCAGCTACTTGTGAAGCCTCGTGTATAAATGTTGTCTTTTTCACGAGATTGCTGCGATATATTCAAATCGGGTTGGTCCGGTGCAAGGTCTTTAAGCAACAATTTATCTGCCAAACTTCTCCTTTCGAAAGGATTGGAGATTAGCTCTTGAACAGAATTAGCCGGGGACCGAGGTCCGGAGACTCCACCTGCACACGAAGCCATCCTCATCAACTACTGCGTCAACCGGATACGAGTCACTGTCCAAACTACTCACAGACTGCACTGGGCGCTGACATTGGCGCCCGGTGACCGTCATCTTTGACGACGCTGATTGGCTGAAATTATATTTTCGCGGCATAGTTTACACGTTACAGATAGCAACAGTCAGCTGCTGGTGGCTGCTGCTGCACTGGTTGAAGGCTCCTCTCTTAGCGCCCAGACGAGAGAAGGTGCATGGGCAAGGCCAGGCAGGAAACATGTGACTTATCAGTAACTTTAGACATCGTAACACAATTTTAAACGAGATTTTATTGTAGATTATACATTTTACTGATACCAATTATATAATATTTACCTTGTTCATTAAAAATAAAAATAAAAACATATATATTTTTTTAAACATATTTTTTTTTTTAATTTTAATTTTAATTATTATTATTATTTTTTTTTTTCAATATGGGAAGAGGTGGGGCGGCGCCCCTAGCGCCCCTATGGACCGGCCGCCACTGCTTGGTTGGTTACTGGCTAATGGTTACACAAGCCAAACAATCGTTATGGCATCATAAAGTGGCCAAAATCTGATCAGCTCATTTTCAGACATGTTTTTATATAAATGGATCAGGACAAAAAGAGAGTGAATCTCTTGCAGGACTTGTACGGTGCACACAGTGCCAGTGGTCCGCTGGCTGTGTGTCAGCCGGGCAGCATGTGTGTATGACGGGCTCATCGCTAAACACAAAGGGCCCAAAGAGAGCTCTGACATTTTCTAACAGGGTAACCATGGAGACCTGGCTCCTGCTGCACCCGGGAGGAGTGGGTGTGAGCCGGAAGACAGTGTCCCGTTGGATGGAGGGGTGGGGGGGCTTGAGGGGACAGGGGGAACGCTGGAGGGGGGGGGGGCGCACACAATGAGCGGTGCTGTTCCAAAAATGGGGAAGGCGGCGTTGAACTGTAACACTTGGACGTGCAATTATGTGTGTGTGTGTGTGTGTTTGTGTGTGTAACCCAGGCCATGTGTGTGTACTAGTGTGTTTTAAATAGTGTGTGTGTGTGTGTGTGTGGTGTGTGTGTGTGTGTGTGTGTGGTGTGTGTGTGTGTGTGTGTGGTGTGTGTGTGTGTGTGTGTGTGTGTGTGTGTGTGTGTGTGTGTGTGTGTGTGTGTGTGTGTGTGTGTGTGCATGCTTGTTTGTTTTGTACGGCTGGGAAAGAAAGAAGGTGAGCTGGGAACTGAGGGGAAATGTAAAATACAGCTGGAACACTGACAGTGGGCTTGCTGACTCAAATACACCAGGGTGCCGTAGTGCAGCAATGGTAGCAACGGAAGTGACCTTGAATCAAGTAATGTGTGTGTGTGTGTGTGTGTGTGTGTGTGTGTGTTGACATTGTACCTGCTCTTGTGCTTATGTGAAGCTGCGTCTGACCGGACTGAGAGCTTGTTTGGAAGCGATAGCGACAGCTGTCATTGCTGATGTACATACACTGAATCCACTTCTCCCCTGCTTGGCCTGAAACAGAGAGAGGGAGGGAGTTGAAGTGAGATGTTTTTCATTCCAGACATGTTAAGCCCCAAGCTCTAGTAAATATCCTCCAGGATTACTAAAAACAGAAGAATCAATGCAAGAGAGCTTCTGCGTTTTACAGCTCTTTAGTTTTCACTTTGAAGCTGCACCAATCGATATTTTCTATACTACTCTAACAATGGTCAAATTACTGTAATATAAAAGCTGTCACTGGCACTAACAAATCCAATAAATAATCTCCCAACTCTGCAATTGCCTTTTCTGCAATTTGCCGCTGCAGTAGGTAGCTTTTTATATTTGAAAAATATCAACTTGTACATTGTTTCTCCAGCACCAAACAGCAGACAGAGAAACTCATTGACTAGATGTTGGACTAGCATAATGCAGCATTTTAACCTTGCCAGAGCTAAAAGGAGACATTCATGACTCCAAGTCAGCACAAGGTGCAAACACAACACTTCCATATTTCTCTCCCACCTTATATAGCTATTAGGCTGAGCAAGTTATCCAACATGACGCTTTACAGATGCAGCGCACAGAACAAATTCAGATTCAAGTTGAAGCTGTGTTTATGACTTTTGAGTCTTGAGTCTGGGATCAATATGCTCTTTCCTTTTAGCTCTGAAAAACACATTTGGCTTAAATATTCACCAGCCCTCTACTAACTGTGTCCATCTGCTGTGTGAACAGGCTGTACTGTTGTGCGTGGTCGGAGGTGACATTTCTTTTCAACCTGATGTTTAGTTACTCTTTAAGTTTTGAGTCAAATCACAAATGAGAGGATGGATCTTTTTGAAAATAAGGAAACTCCGACTTCGAAACAGACACATCTAAAACCCAACTATCTTCAGATACACAGAACTACAAAGTCCATGTGTAAAAAAATGTGCTATAAATGTAATTGGCTAAACTGGCTTTACCTAGAACATCATCCCTGTAGCCCACCAATGATTCACACGTGCTGTTGCAATGTCCCGCCTCTTTTTGAGTGAGGCCGTGAGACAGGTGGCAGTCAACACACTTCCTGAGAGAGAGAGAGAGAGAGAGAGAGAGAGAGAGACGGAGAGAGTGAGAGAGAGAGGACAATAATGTCAGCTTCATCATCAAATTGTTCTTTAAGAGCTCCCATCATGCTTTGCGTCCACCAATATGTACCAGTATGATTGACAGGTGCTTTGGCAGGCAGGACATCTCTCACAGAAGTCTCCAGTTTGTCGCGGGTCATCACACACACACTTGCCGCACACACACGAGCCCTGGCCGCTGCAAATCAAGCCGTTGGCTGATTGGCAGGTTGCTGTGGAGACGGGACAACCACAGCTATCACCTGTCCAGCCGCCTTCACACACACACTCACCTGACACACACACACCACGACCTGAGAAAGACGGACGAGAGGAAAGAGGGTTAAAGAAGCAAACCAAGATGTGTCTTTACTACTGTTTTTGAGCTCTTGTGATATCTCTTTGAATTTAAAGTAGAAACTTTTGAGGTTCCTTATTTACCTCCACATATCAACCCCCCTTCGTACGGGCAGGAGAAGTCGTCTCTCTCGCAGTATTTCCCATAAACTGTCCCAAGCCTGGTCTCATCACACAAACACCTTCCACAATCACACACTCCCCGACCACTGCAGTCCATATCAGACCCATCCGCTCGGCAATTCCAGTTTGAATCTCTGTCAGAGTTTTGAATTAGTCCGTTTTGCGGCCTCTGCTCCTGATTGGTGCTCCCTTGTGTTTCTCTGCATGGTGATTGGCTTTCGTCATTGCAGCGCTTCGTTGATCCACAACTGCAGGCGCATTTAGAGTGGATCCTAACCACGGTGGATTCGTTGTAACCCACTGGTCGAACCACCACTTTTACATCTTCATCTTCCCCATTGTCGGGACAAGAGTGCATGCCGATGGTGATATTGAAGTAGACCTGCGTAGGAAGACAAACATTTTAATCTCTAAGGCGGTCAGTGGAGCAAATGTGAAAATGCTTTAACCCTGCATTCTCTCAAATATCCAGGGAGTGACACCTTGCGATACTAAAATAATTGTGATTGAAAAGATACCCCAATTCTCACTTGGTTTATCAGATCAGTAGACATTTTTCTGATGACTTTATGGTCTTATTAGCTTCTTTTTAGTGTTCCTTAAAACAGAATGGTTCTGATTTTAGACATGATGGCCCCATTTTGAGACTTTATACAATAAAACAGGATAGGATTTAGGGCGATGCATAAAACCAAGATGGCAACAGTGAAAACGCCAAACTCTTAAGATAGAAATTGGTTCAGCATTATACAGATTGAAAAGGCTTGAGGCTAAGAGGTCGGTACAGGGGAGATATGGATTCTCTTCCTGGTACCAGTGAGGCTTTTGTTGCTGCTGCATTTAGAACAAGCTGTAGGCGAGATAGATTCCAACATAAAAAGAATTGCACTATTCGAGGCAAGAAGAAATTCAAGCGTAAACTAAATTCTCTACACATTTAACCAACAGGAATAATGACAATTTATGCAAATGATCTCAGACAGTAGAAGCTTGTGCTGACAACTGATGACAATTATTTATTTAATTTTAATCCAGAATCAAAGATAAGATTTTTGCCCAAGATTTTATTTAATGACGAGCATCACTGATTGACCTAAGGCCGGAAAGGTCAACACACCAATAAAAAAGATAAATAGTGGACTGTCTAACAATCATTTGATTCTCACCAGTCAGCTGGAGAGACCCTACACAGATGCAGAGAAATGCAGCAGGCTCAAATGTGTTTTCCCCCTTGAAACTCACTACACAAGTATTACCTATTAAAAGACTTAACTACTTCCTTGTTATTTATCCAACATAGTTAGCCGAAAGTGAAACGTTACTATGTGAATAATTTCTCTGTTCATGCGGTTACTAAATTGTGCATGCCGAAGATTTGAATCTACAAGAAAGCCTTTCACTTGATTTTTTATCTCTATTCTGGTAATTGTGGGTACTTTCCATAATTCACTTTAATCCGCCCATGGATTAAAGTGCTGAACTCCAGCCTGTTTGCACAATGGAGTTTTTATAGAGCAGTCATTAAGCTTCTTGGTGGTTGAGAAAGTTAAGAGCCCCCTATGGAGAAGAGGAGTCTCGTTGGCAGTTTAGAGAAAGAACAGGGTAAAAAAGACTCTTCAGTCAAATGTACTGAACAAAAATAGTAACAAAAAGGGAGTTATTTGGTTGAAATCCTTTTTTGAAAGTAGCCTTTTTCCATTAGTGTGGTAGAAAAGCAGTATATTAAACGTTTATTGTGAATAAATGGAACCGGTAAGAGAGGAGGTCCAATGACCTATTTCTAAATAAATGTCCTATTTGATTAAGGCTCTCAACATTGGGCAAGTAACGGATTTTAGGACGAATAGTTCATAGAATCACGTGGAAATGTTTTCCTGTTAAACACAGCCTTTAATCCGCTCAACTCGGATTATTTACCAAATCTTAAACTCTCAATGTCTGCGTGTGTGTAAGACTGTAGAGGTTAAAGAAATCCAGTACAACCAATACATGTTTCTAGGAACTTAAAGCAAATATTTTCTGTATTAATATTCGTAACATTTAGCTAAATTCTTGCACAGTTTTAATCAAGTGTGTGCTTTGATGGTGACAAAGTTATGCTTTTGTGTTTACCGTCTGGTCCGGCTGCACCCCCGAGCAGCTCTGGTCCTTCGCCGTGGATCCATTGGGACAGAGAGGAGAAACAGACACCCAGTACCTGCTGACTGCCTTGTCCTCCACTGACACTGATACTGACACCTCCGACAACAACTTCTGCATGGAGAGAGGGCGCAGAGAGATACAAAAGTACCATTAACTTCCCCTCCTGATTTATGGGAACAAGGAGGTGGGGCCAAAAATAGCATCTTTGTATTCGTCCATGATTAGGACACATGGTTCCGTGGGGGGGGATCTAATAGCAATTATAATGGCAGCTTCTGTTTGTGTGTGTGTGTGTGTGTGTGCATGCGTGTGTGTGTGTGTGTGTGTGTGTGTGTGTGTGTGTGTGTGTCTGCACGTATGCATGGTTGTTCACCCGGATCCGTAGATTCGGCAGATTCTCGAAGCAAACAATGGTTCACTGTGCCTGAGGCTAGATTATAGCAAAGACTGCTGCCAACGGAACAAAACCACACACACACACACACGCACGCACGCACGCACGCACGCACGCACGCACGCACGCACGTACGCACGCACGCACACACACACACACACACACACACACACACACACACACACACACACACACACACACACACACACACACACACACACACACACACACACACACACACACACACACACACACACACACGTTTTTCAGATTCATTCAGCCTTCAGCAACCGAAAAACATGTCCAATGATGTCCAACTTCAGAATTGAAGTTTGCATTACAAATGTCACTGTCTTTTGCTGCATCCATTATCTATTGGATAAATTGAGCAGTACACACTTTCTGTCGCATCCCTGATTCTGACAGGAATGTGTTTTGAGCTATGGTCGAGTTCATGTTGCCTCAGCGGACTCATGCCTCAACACTTGAGCTGATACTGCGTGGGCTTATGAATTCAGCTCATGCTGTGCTGCTGCGCTCTAATCGGAAACCTTTCGCTTGTCCCTGTCCTTCTCCTTGTTGTTTGAAGGATGAATAATAAACAGAGGGAGGACTAGAATGAGAAAGAAGGTGCAGAGGAAGAAGGTGAGGGCTCTGTACCTTGTATGCGTCCACCACCAGCTCGATGAGGTTTGGAGCCTGGAAGAGGCCTAACTTTCCCAGGTAGGAGCCAGGAAGTAAATGCACCAATGCCTAAAGAAGAAAAGGGAGATGAGGGTTAAAAAAAAAAAACGTTCTAAGTCACCCTAACTGTTAACTTCTGGGGCAACATTTGTGTTATCAGACATCATAGAGCAAACATCTCCTTAGTCCGAGAAGTTTTTTTGTTTCTCTTTTAACTATCTGAAAAACCATTGTAAAAAACACCTTATGACCCACATGTATCAGATTACTACTAGAAATGCCATGTAATTGCCGAATGACATTTAAAATGTGTGATGTTGTGTGGGAGAGATTACCTCGTACCACTTGTACTGCTGCTTCTCCACGGCAAAGATCAAGTACATATGGTTTTCAAGCAGTTTATCAGACAACTGACCCACACTGGGATGATCCTAAAAAAAGAGACAAACAACCGACTAAATACAAAAAATCATGTTTTTCAGGAAAGCATTTCTGCTAACCTCTTCTTCCCCTTCAGATGTACCATAACAAGTGTAAGTCTTCTTTTCTTAATATACAGACGTTTTTCTAAAATCAATTGGTCCACATGAGTAAATACAGCGTGTATATTAGCGTGTAACCATGTTGGCTTCAAGGAAGAGATTTACAATTTGGTAATTTTTAACATGACGCTCTTAATTTCTCAAATTTGACCAATTAACACATACATGTAAAACACGTATTGTATATTTTCGTTTGATCTATAAAAAAAAAAACAATGTGTAAAAGACATTGATCTTCATATCTAACTCTCAGCATGAAAAAGATTAAGCACATTATCAAAACTCAGTGTAACTATTCCTTTAGGTTAGAATTATTTTACTAATATTTAATCTGCAATTGATTTATGTAATGTCCACAATCTCACCTGCCTCGTGCTACCTGTGTAGACATTGTTCTCCAGGTGACACAGGCCGTCGTTAGGCGTCACTATCCCTGCCACCCGGCTGTCCAGGGCGAGGTGGGACGGCTGGTCGGTCATCAGGAGCAAAAGACGTTTGGCCTCGGGTCGCCAACCCAAATCTCTCTAGAGGAGAGACACAGAGGGATCAGGACCGTGTGATGTGGTCTGTTGCTGGTGAGAAGTTGTATCGATTCTCTCATTTGTATCCCCTTATATCACTACATTTACACGGACTGATGTGGAAAATATGTGCACGCTTTATATTTTTGACTCATGTGGTGAGAAACTGCAAATTCAAAAAATCGTACTCATCTGAGCTTCATTAGTTCCCGTGGTGATCAGCTCTTTCTGTAATGCCAAATTAAATGCATGCAGCAGAAAATCCCAGACAGTCACTGACTCGCTGTCTTCATGCCTGTGGCTCGTCAGTGTGTGCGTGTGTGTGGTGTGTGGTGTGTGTGTGTGTGTGAGTGTGTGTGTGTGTGTGTGTGTGTGTGTGTGTGTGTGTGTGTGTGTGGTGTGTGTGTGTGTGTGTGTGTGTGTGTGTGTGTGTGTGTGCGTGTGCGTGTGCGTGTGTGTGTGCGTGTGCGTGTGTGCGTGTGTGTGTGTGTGAGCACCAGTGTATTCATGGAAACCAAGTGAGTTTACAATTAGGCCTGACATAATGGAGAGTCTATTTATAGTGATGACCGCCGTGGTGTTTCCCTGCTGGCTGGTTACTCAGGACCCCCTGTGTGGTGTGACTCAGGCCTCCTGCAGCCTGCAGTATACAAGCAACCAGTGTGTGTGTGTGTGTCTGCCATACCCGGGCAGTGGTGTCATTACTTAGTGGGATTCCTGGGGGAACATCCAATGCTGAGTCAAAGTGCCACCGTCTCCCAGAATAAAAGCCTCTTTCACCGGCATGCAGACTTACTCCCAAATTTGGGGTTATGGCTCTTTTTTTAGAACATATTCAAGCCTCAAGGGAACTGAAAGTTTTTTCTAACTCCCTTTCTCTTTACATACTTATAGCTGAGCCTAACTTTCCACCATCTGTATTTACACACCTGGCAGACAGCAGCTTGCAGCAAGGCATCCAGTCCCCCCTCAGGTGTGTCCATGTTTCCAGATATGCGCTGGCGTTTGATCACACGCGTGAACTCGCTTATATTTCCAGTCATACCCAGGACGTGGTGGAAGCCATGGGCTGGACGACAGCGGATCTCATAATCACTGTTGAGACGTTGGAGAAAGTTTTAATTGCTACTTTCAGGAATGTATAACTCAGGACCAATGAATGTAAAAAGTCTGTCTGTTCTTTCTTGTCTCTTAATGTACAAATTCCTTGCAGAGTCACACAAAATTGGAAGCAACTAATGCTTGCTTTGATGCATTTTTAAATAATAACTCAAATCACCACTCTTCTTGGCTCATTAAAAGAAGAACAAGTTGGCTTCGAAATATAACAAGGCAAACTTTGAAGGTGTTGAATGTCTATTCTTCTCATAGCAGGAACATTAACACAATTATTCATATGAAAATGAATAACCCTGTTTCTTTAAGCAATACATAATCTTCTGTTGTGTGTCTCACCTGCAGGGGTTGCTGATCTTGGAGGGATGGACGTTGATGTAAGGAGAGACAGGCTTGTCCACAAACGAGCCGAAACCCAGCTGAAGGTCCGAGGAGTGCTCCGTCATACGAAGAGACAGCGCCACACCCACTGTCTTCAACTGGACCACAGAAGAAACGAAGAGAGGTTGGTGGAGGCCGAAAGGGAATCCAAGGGCAAATTAAAGGAAGGGTTAGTAGACAGGCATGAAGATGTAGAGGGTAAGATAAGGCAAGTATTTCATTAAAGGTCTTCCTTACATAAGTAAATTAGCTGCAATTGATGTCATACTAAATGTAAAGAAGCTATACAGAAGGTACAGTATCTTAATCTAGTATCTGTGTTTATAAGTCTTGTATCTAACCTTCATACAACATAGTGGTTTGTATAAAATGTGTTTAGTTTTCTTTAGTTCAAATCTTTGGAAAAAAACGTTTTCCTTAAAACAATATTAATAAAAAGCTTCAGCACTGACGGAAACTGATAAACACCTACATGATCGAGGTTTTCCTGCATAGAGGCCGACACATCAACCAGGTAGTACAGATCCACAGGATAACGCTTCAGCTGCTTCACAGCCACCACTACACTGGCCTGGGAACCTTTAAACACACAGAAACAGGAGAACATAATTAACTTCAAAACTTGACCTCAGATGACTTCTCACACGCAATAATAAATATGCATTTGAGGCATCCAGATCCAGCCCGTGGTCTACCTGGTCTGAGGGTGACGCTGATGTCTTGTGGGGATACTTGAGTGCTGCTGGTGGTGGCGTTGACCTCCACCTTGACCTCTGACTGCTCCATGAACTCCGGCTCACAGCCTCTCCTGAGCAGCTTCACCGGCAGGTCGCAGCGCTGGCTCGCCACCGCTCCATCCAGAAAGTCCTAGAGGTCACACGAGGTCAGGAGATGAAAAGGGGAAAGGGGACATTCACCTTCTTCTAATATAATTAAATTGCAGAATTCAATAACAACATTTTGAATTTGATGCAGAAAACTAAACACACAGGAGAAAAACCTGCCAGCTGAGCAACTACGCCGTCTTTTAAGATGTTGTAACATTAATCAAATGTCAGGGATGAAAACAAGTGACACAAAAAGTGGGTCAAGTGAATGTAACATGATGCTCTCTACTAATGCAGCTACAAATATACTGTATGCCCCTCATGAATGTATACTCTGTTATATATGTTCTATATGTTTCAGGTTTCTCCTTGTGTCACTTAAGCAGATGAAGAAGAGGATT